TCGGGCATCGCTCCGAGAGCCTCAAAAAGAAAACGATCTCATGTTCGACAGAGCAGCGCGCAGAGGAGGCGCCCGGGAGGCGAGCACGCAGCAGAGCGTTTGTCCTTCAGTAACTAAAACCAGCCTGTTTCTTGGGTTTTCTGTCCCTGGCGAGCGTGGTGCTTCTGTCACGGGACACTGAGGGCCTCGCTACAGCCCGTGGCTCACGAGGTGCGATGTGGGCAGCCGGGCTGGGGACAGGGTTTTTCCTCGATAGCTTTTTAGCGGCGGCTGTCAGCCTCTAACGCCCGGCGGGGAAGGCGGGAAGCGCCAGGCCAGCGGCGCTACCGGAGGAGGCGCCCGAGTCCCTGGGCTTGGAGGTGTGCGGGCAGGCCGGGCCGATCTCCAGGAAAGCGGGAGCACAAAAGGAGGATTATTTCCTGGGAGGGATCCAAACAAGAGGGACAGGAAGGTTAATTAGCTGAACTTTCCCTTCAGCTTGCGGTTGCATTTTCCCAAACCCTTACATTTTCCAATTGCATTTCCAATTCGTATTTCCCCCCCCCCTTTTTTTTTTTCCCTTAAAATTTAATAGGCGAGCACATACAGGTTACTAGAAGAACAATAGCATACTTAACACTTGCTTCTTTTAACTTATTTAATATTGCCCAAAGTGTTAGAATTCAAAATCATAGAATCATAGAATGTTTTGGGTTGGAAGGGACCCCTAGAGGTCATCTAGCCCAACCCCCCTGCAGGGAGCAGGGACACCTTTAACCAGATCAGGTTGCTCAGAGCCCCGTCCAACCTGGCCTTGAATGTTTCCAGGGATGGGGCCTCCACTACCTCTCTGGGCAACCCGTTCCAGTGTTTCACCACCCTCATTGTAAAGAATTTCTTCCTTATATCCAGTCTAAACCTACCCTGCTTCAGTTTAAAGCCATTACCCCTTGTCCTGTCACAGCTGGCCCTACTAAAAAGATTTTCCCCATCTTTCCTATAGGCCCCCTTTAGGTACTGAAAGGCCGCAATCAGGTCTGCCCACAGCCTTCTCTTCTCCAGGTGGACCAAGCCCAACTCTCTCAGCCTGTCCCCATAGGAGAGGTGCTCCAGCCCTTGTTCTAGTCTTAATTAACTGTTCTGCATTGAAGTTTGTTCAGCCCCAATGGCAGAGTATTGCATTAGTCTATAATCTTGGGTGGATGTCATTTCAGTGAGAAAAGTACTTTGTACCTTTATTTTTGTACCAGTTAAAACTAGATTTGTGGTCTTTTCTGATAAACGCTGTAACTTGTGGTAAATAATACCACCAGTATAAATAAATAAGTAAATTATTTCAAGAAGTGTTTTTAAACATGGGAATATTTTCATCAGCTTAATTTTCACTGTCATTTTTTAAAATTAAACATTTGAGCTGACCATATAATTTTCTAGGAAGATAAAAACCAAGCTTTGTCTAAAACCAATAATGCGGTCAGGTCACATGGATAATAACCACAGAACATTACAAAAACCATGACTTTTACCTCAGTTTAATGGCCTTCTTAACTCGGACATGTAAAGAAAGCAGAAAGTCAATCAAAAGCTACTTCAAAGTACTGACAATTTCGGTTGTCTTCCAACAGTAGTGTGCAAAATTTTAATTAATTCTACGTGCTCCAGAATAACTACTGTTATTTTTATTACTGCAGCTATTTACGTACCTACCGGCACAATAATCCTTCGATGAGTAGAGAATACCCTTCTCTGTGATCACTCTGCAATCCTGTGAGACAGTCAACTTGTATTTCACAGATGCATTGATGATTCACCTAGATTTCAGCTTAAAGTCTGCTCTCTAAATAATTAGGACCAGATACTAATACAGCTGTTTGTATATGTGAGGAGTCACAGCTGCACAGCTCACAGAAGCCCGTTAGCCAAGGAGGTATTGCAGAAGACAGACCACCAATTGCCATCAAAAAGTGTCCTTTTTTATTTTTCCTTCTTAACAATTATTTTGGGGGCCCTTTTTTTTTTCCTGCATGGTTGCATTGAAGATAGAAAAATATCTAAGCACATGACATTGAAGCACAAAGACCCAAATTGCATGCTTATTATTTTCACAGTAAATACCTTCCATCATTGCTGTGAAGCCTGGTCCTGCGGACTAATCACTGCTCAAATCGGCAAGAGTTGTTCTGAAAATTTAAAAACAGGATGCATATGGTTTCATTGAAGACAATATTGAATTTAACACAAGATACATTATAATACTTAAAGCTGTATTTTAAATGTCAATATGACATTGAGAAATGTTTTCAGTTAGTAGTTTTTCATCTGAGTTTCCTGGGGGGGTTAGTATTGCAAATTCAACAAATACCTTCTGTTCATTGTTCACATAGGAAAAACAGCTGCAAGATCAACTGGAATGACATAGTTCTACAGCCACAGATTTGGTATTCAGTACTCCCAGATGAATCCAGCTATATTAAGAGAAAGTACCGTTTTCTTGACAGCACACCAGTGCTGCTGAGTCACAGTATGTATTTGGTAGAAATGCATCTGTAAAGTTCACCACAGTAATTGCATGGCAGTTGCTCCAGAGCTCACTTTTAACTCTTGACAGTTACTTTACAGACAGAACTTAAAACAAAAGACATTTTTTAGAAAGAAATCTTTATGATCCTTGCCTTAAAAGAAAGTGAGGTAGTCTGAACAAATCTGAGTTTCAGTGTCACGTACTCCAAGACTAGTAAGGTCAAGTACTTCAACAGCAAGTTTTCTAGAACAAGAATTTTTTGCTGTGTTTGCACAATGCCACAACATATGTTGTGACACAACTGTCCCAGAGTTTAGCCAGCAACTTCTGGGTGCTACCATAATGCACAACAAATATTTTTTGCATCTTGCTTGCTTTTTTTTTTTTTTGGCTTGGGTTGCATTGTGTGAATGCCAGTCAGCAAAGTTAAGTTAAAAAAAAGGAGGGGGAATGAAAGTGCCATTATTTTTAGAGTCATTTAATGTACAGCATTTAAAGCAGAGAAAGAAATGAGAGTACCTAGGTGTAGTTGAAATTACTTTTTCTAAGATGCCCTTTTATAAATAATATTTGTAGGGCTTGATAATTCCGTATGTCGCTTGTTGAAGTTTTAACTGGAACTATGCCAGTAAGGTCTATCAAATCAGGCAGTTGTACCCTAACTACTTGGCTATCTATCTGGTATGGCAAGGTTATTTATGTGGCAGTATGTTTTGGCCACCTATACCAACTTTTACACTATAATGATTTGTAATTAACTTGTATGTGCGTGTAGATGAAGTGTTACATACCAGGGAATCAATGAACATAATTCCATCAGCAGATTCCTGCAGCTGAAGTAGTCAAATGTAATGTGATTTGCTGGAGAAAGAGGGGTTTATTTTGAACAGCTTTAAAAGTTACAGCTTGTTGGATTGTTTCACTTTTCAGTTCTTACCTGTTTGCTTGGGGGGGAGGGGGGAGGGGGAAAGAGCTGGCAAACTTCTCCCCATTGCTTTTTGCAATTCTACCTGCAGAACTTGAGACAAAATGTAGAAATAGGGCAAATTTATTATGACTGATGACTGTCAACTTCCTGGATTTATTGAACGTACTTTAATGCTAAATTGCCACTTAGTGCTGAACAAGCACTTAATAAACCAAAATCAAAGGCTGATTAAATTATATACTCTAATTGCATAGTACAATAAAAGGATGTTTTGATTGCAAAGTCAAGTGGTTGGGTAAGGACACCATTTTTTAGAGGTCAGCTCAGAGTTCACACCTTCTGACTTCAGAGAACGTAAGTTGACTTTCCGCATAGAATCATAGAATCACTTTGGTTGGAAAAGACCTTTAAGATCATCGAGTCCAACCTTTAACCTAACCCTGCCATCCCACCACTAAACCATGTCCTGCATCCTGCAGTAAAAGAGCTGTGTCCATCATCTCTTTTGTGCAGGAATTCTTCATTTTAATAATGCTGCTGTTGGTAACAATGCTTGCAGTTTCTCATGACCTGCACAAGATAGCAGTTTAAGATTTCATATTTGATCCTGTTGAATGCAGAAAGTCAGGCCGTGCACTGTGTGCTCCTCCTCATCCTCCCCACCTGTTCTCTGTCACTATCCCTAACAGACTGAGTGGATGCCATAGTTCAGGTAGGGAAAATAGACTGCAGACAAGTATTTCTTGTTTCCTGGTCATCCTCTCTTTCTGAACACCCACGCTAGGGGTGCACGTGTTGAGATTTGGTATTTTATTGGCAATTTTGTTAGTGGCAAGA